AGTGGCTGATGCCTGTAATCCCAGCACTCTGGGAGGCCAAGGTGGGTGGATCAGCCTGACCAACATGGTGAAACCCCATCTCTAATAAAAATACAAAATTAGCCAGGTGTGGTAGTGTGTCCCTATAATTCCAACCAGCCACTTGGGAGGCTGAGGCAGGAGAATCACTTGAACCCAGGAGGCAAAGGTTGAAGTGAGCCGAGATCATACCATCGGACTTCAGCCTGGGCAACAAGAGCAAAACTCCGTCTCAAAAAAAAAAAAATATATATATATACACACACACACACACACACACACACACACACACACTCTTATTTTGAACAAACTGTTTCCTGTTAGATTAACTGAGAATAAGAAAATTGTGTGTGTGTGCCTACACACAATTGCTTATGTATAAGTGAATGGCAGAAATGACACAAGGGACAGGAGAGAGGCATTAGGAAAGTTTTGTTGTAAGGTTCTTCCAATATCTGTGAATTGGTACAGTGCTATTGGTAAGTGAACTTGGAGTAGTCATAAATGTATATTGCAAACTCTAGGGCAACCACTAAATAAGGTAAAAAAAAAAAAAAAAAAGTAAAACTGGTCCGGGCACAGTAGCTCATGCCTGTAATCCTAGCACTTTGGGAGGCCAAGGTGGGTGGATCCCACCATTTTTTTTTTTTTTTTTTGATGTGTAAAATATAAACTGACATTTATTTTTGTTTTAGCTTGAGACTAGGTGCATACTGAGAGATTTGTTAGAGGAAGATGTGGCTTGAAAAGGACGAATGTGAAGAGAAAATACCAGCTAATGTCTCAATAACTGAGGTTTAAGAGGAAGACACTGAGGGAATCTGCCTCTCCTGCTTGCTCCCACAATTCCCAGGGCGGAATCTGGTGCCACAGAAATGGGCTCCTGCCCTTCAGGCAGAGAGGTGGTCCCAGGGTTTGTGGCCTGTGGAAGCTGTTGACACGATGGCCGGAGTCCACCCCACAGACCACATCCTTTTCCTAGTCCCTCTCATACAAGCACCCATAGAGAGCCGCTGTCACCAGGCCGGAGGACAGCCCACTCTTCCTCAGGAAATAGTGGTCATTCTCCCAGCCAAGCTGGTCAGGGACATCCGGAGTCATCCCTGAGGTCAGAAACAAAGGAAAGATATAGGAAGTACTGAAGTTCCCCCACAGGTGAAACTCAAAGATCCCTGTGGCCTCTGTGATCTCCTGTCCACAGGTGTTGAAGCCAAGACCCCCACACCTGACCAGGGCACACACTTGGATGTAGTAAGTACCATGTACAGTGTAAAGCCCATCAAAGACCCCCAGGGCATACAGCTCTTCGGATAAGGTAGGCCTCTTGTAAAGTAAATAACAGCAGAGGCCATTTGAACAGACATGGAGATAGCCTTCCTTTCCCCAGACGGGGTCAGGAGTTGGAGAACATCTGGGACAGCATGGTAAAACCCCATCTCTACTAAAAATACAAAATTTAGCCAGGCATGGTGGCGCACGCCTGTAGTCCCAGCTACTCGGGAAGCTGGGGCAGGAGAATCACTTGAACCTGGGAGACGGAGATTGCAGTGAGCAGAGATTGGCCCGTTGCACTCCAGCCTGGTGACAGAGTGAGACTCTGTCTCAAAGAAAAAAAAAAAGTAAATCGTTAAAGAAAAATATACCATGTTAATACTAGTCAAAAGAAAGGAAAAGTAAATATATTAATGTCAGACACAGCAGACTTCAGAACAAGGAAACTTATCAGTGATATTAAGAAGACCATTGCATAATGATAAAGGAGTCATTTCTCCAAGAAGACATAACAATCCTTAACACATATTTCCCTAACAACAGAGTATCAAAATATGTGAGGCAAAAACTGATAGAACTCCAAGAAGAAATACATGAATCCACTATTATGGTTGGAGACTTAAGTACTCCTCTGCTATATAAATGGACAGATCCGTCAAGCAGACATAAGGACGTAGTTGAAATGAACAGTAACATCAATCAACATCCGTCCACTATTTATCCAGCAACAGCAGAATACACATTTATATTAGTCTAGAAATATTTATTGAGTTCCTACTGTATGTTCAAGAACTGTTCAAAAACCTGAAGATATAGCAGTGAACAAAGTCCCTGTTTTCATGGTGCTTACATTTTATTAGGGGGAACACATACTGGACAAACAAATGCTATATTAATATCACCTGATAAGTGTTACAGTGAAAAAAGAAAGTAAGAAGGAAGAGAGGTTGCTATTTTGGCAAGAAGGGTCTAGGAATGCTTCACGGATAAGGTGACTCTTTTTATTTTACTTTACTTTTTTAGAGACAGGGTCTTGCTCTGTTGCCTAGGCTGCAGTGCAGTGACATGATCATAGCTCACTGCAGCCTTGAACTCCTAGTCTCATTCTCCCGCCTCAGCCTCCCAAGTAGCTAGGGCTACAAGCAAGTACCACCACACTGGGCTAATTTTTTTTTCTTAGTTTTTTATAGAGATGGTGGGGGCTCACTATGGTGCTCAGTCTCGAACTCCTGTCCTCAAGCATCTTCCTGCCTCAGCCTCCCAAAGTGCTGAGATTACAGGTGTGCACCACTGCATCCAGCCTGGATAAGGTGATTCTTAAAGATTCTATGCAGATATCTGGGGAAAACAGACGTCCAGGTAGAAGGGATAGAATGTGAAAATCCCTGAGGCTGGAGTGTGCTTTGTGCCTTTGAAAAGCAGCAAAGAAGTTGTGTCTCAAGTAAGGTAAAAAAGGCCAGAATGGTTGGAGAAGTCAGAGAGGAAAATATTGGAGGAAAATGAAGTAGGTCCTTGCAGGCCTTTTAAAGTGGAATAGGAAGCCATTGGAGGCTTTTTAGCAGAGAAGTGACATCTTACTTCCATGTTAAAAGATCACTCTGTTTGCTACGTTGAGAATAATCCATGGATTGTGGGGAGAGTTATGAACAGAGTCAGGGAAACAAGTTGGAAGGCTATTACAATAAACCAAAAAGATTTTGTAGTAACTTAAACCATTTTAAAGACTGTAGCCATGGCCAGGTGCAATGGCTCACACGTGGAGTTCCAGCACTTCAAAAGGCCAAGGCAGGAGGATCCCTTGAGCCCAGGAGTTCAAGACCAGCCTGGGGAACATACGAAGACCCTGCCTCTAATTTGAAAAGGAAATAAAGATAATGGTTACTACTACTATTTTTAATAGTGACCACCATCCACTTAAGGGAGGAAGTGTGGAGAGATAGTTAGATATATTTTGGAGATATAGTTGAAAAGATTAGATTGGATGTGAAGTACCTGAGGAAGATGGCAAGCACACTTCCTAGGTTCTTGGACTGAGCAAGTCCAATGGCAAGAATACAGTTGCTAAGTACTAAAATAGGGGATCCCACAGGAAGAGTATAATTTCCCCCCAAAGTCTTGACATAAAAATTTCACATGCCTAATGGACAACCAAGGAGAAATGCTGAATGTAAAATGTAATTTCAGTATAAAGAATTGAAGGCATAATTTGCAAGCAATCACTCTCAGTTCTGCTATTTTGCAGTGAAAGCAGCTATAGACAATACTAAAAGAATGGGCATGGTTGTGTTCCAATAAAATTTTGGAACTGAAACTTGAATTTGAATTTCGTTTAATTTTCATATATCACAAAAATTGTTCTTTTGATTTTCGTTAAGCAAGTTCCAAGCAGAATGGGCTGCAAAGCCTATAACATTTACTTTCTGGCTCTTTTTATTTGTATTTTTTTGAGACAGTGTCTCGCTCTGTGGCCCAGGCTGGAGTGCAGTGGCACTACTGGAGCTCATTGCAGCCTTGACTCCCAGGCTCAAGCGATTCTCCTGTTTAGCTTCTAAACAGCTGGAACTACAGGCGTGCACCACCATGCCAAGCTAATTAAGCTGGGCAGGGTGGCTCATGCCTGTAATCCCAGCACTTTGGGAGGCCGAGGCAATCACCTGAGGTCAGGAGTTCCAGATCAGCCTGCCCAACCTGGCGAAACCCCGTCTCTACTAAAACAAAACAAAACAAAACAAAAGAAAAAACAAATCAAAACAAAACAAAACAACAAAAATTAGCCAGGCGTGGTGGCAGGCGCCTGTAATCCCAGCTACTCCGGAGGCCTGGGAGGTGGAGGTCACAGTGAGCTGAGATTGCGCCACTGCATTCCAACCTGGGTGACACAGCGAGACTCTGTCTCAAAAAAAAAAAAAAAAGAAATTTTTTTTGTAGAGAAAGAGTCTCATTCTGTTGCCCAGGCTGATCTCTTGGGTTCAAGGGATTCGCCCGCCTCGATCTCCCAAAGTTCTGGGATTACAGGCGGGAGCCACTGTGCCTGGTCTACTCTCTGGCTCTTTACAGGCAATTTGTGGATCGTTGTGACAAATGAAACAAGATGGGACATTAATTGGTCATTTTTGAAGCTGGGTAATCGTATACAGGGTTTCCTTATACTAGTTTACTTTTGAATATACTTAAAAACTTTTTCAATAAAAAGTTGTGGAAATGTTTAACAAAGGTAAGTAATCTTACGCGTTTTTCCTTCCTAAACAAAACAAAAATCTCTGAAACTTGTCTGTAGCTAGTAAATGCCTTTTGCTTCTTTTCTGAAAAAGCAAAATATTTTGTAAGTCTTTAGTGGTGGTAAAATAAGCCCTTTGGATTTGACACTCGGTGACGGTGAAAGCTGGCACAAAAGGAAAAGAATATTTTTCTTGGGGGGGGTGTGTACATTACTATAAATTCCCAGGATCAATCCTGGTTCTACAAATAAGTCAAAACAAAATCCTCCTTAACACAGTAGCGTCTCACGCCCTCAGACGACTCACGGAAATGACGCCATCAGCAAAAAGCGGGGCGGGGCGGGCGTAGCCGACAAGGCGTCCGCCCTCCACATCCAGCTGAGGGAAGGCTGCCTCCAGCGCGGTAGCCGGCGCCTGCCCAGGAATGGGCAGCCAGAATCTGTCGACTGCGGCTGCGCAGGTATGCTGGGGCGGGGCTTCAGGTCACTCCGCCCATCCCCAGGCTTTGCGATCATTGAACAGCTGCCGCCCGAGGGCTGGGTAAATCTTCAGCGGCCGGAATGATTAGCCGAGGGGGCGGCTCCGCCCCGGCCCGTCTTGGCCTCGCGCCCCGCCCCCGTGTCCCGCCCGCCTGTCCGCCTGCCTGGCTGCGGGGTGACACGGGGCTTCTCCTGGGGAAGGGGGCGAGGGAAGCAGGTTAGACTGCGGCTGGGCGGCGGCGGCGCGGCCCCTAATGTGAGCGTGGTAAGGGGAAGCGGGCTGTTGGGAAGAGTCAGCGGCGTGGCGAGAAATGGGAGGGCCCCGGTGCTTGGGGGTGGAGGGGCTGCAGAGTGAGGGGCGGTTGTGAGGGGGCGAGGCTGTCCGGTCGTGCCCCGATACACACGTGCCGGCGGGGGTCGCGGTCGGGAGGTGCCGAGTCCGCGTTCCTTAGTTCTAGAGCCTCTCGTGGCAGCTTGGCACACCTTAAGTTTGCCTCTGTTTGGGTTGTCTGGGATGTGAAGAGGAAATTTAAAGATCCCCACAAACGCTTGGAAGCTTCTTCGGGAAGTTTTCTTCGCCGGTGCATGCGTGCCCACTTCTCTAGGATGGAAAGGTGGACAGGCCAGGTGGGCGGGTGGACTTCTACTCTCCGAGGATTGTTAGAACAAACGATCTGGGAATTCCTCCCCCGCCCCCACGCCCTGCCCTGCAACACAGCAAACAGTCCCAACAACTTTTTTTTTTTTTTTTTTTTTCCCCTGATATCGGAGAGCTGCTCTGTCGCCCAGACTGGAGTGTAGTGGCGCAATCTCAGCCAACTGCAACCTCTGCCTCCCGGGTTCAAGCAATTCTCCTGCCTCAGCCTCCAGAGTAGGTGGGATTACAGGCGCGTGTCACCATGCCCAGCTATAATTTTGTATTTTTAGTAGACAGGGGTTTCACTGTGTTGGCCAGGTTGGTCACGAACTCCTGACCTTGTGATCCGCCTGCCTCGGCCTCAAAGTGCTGGGGTTAAAGGCGTGAGCCACCGCGCCTGGCCCCAACAACTTTGAAGACGAGACCAGAACAAGGACATTCATTCTAAGAGCTTTGATGTATTTGAAATATGTCTGAGATGTGGGCCTTTTCCTTGTGTATGTACAAAAAGGTGTAAGTGGGAAGGAGAGGGACTCACAGGACCCTGTAGGGCTGGACCCTACAGAGTCTTGCTCATTACTCTCACTGGACGCAATTTTGGTTACTAACATGTACCCATTTCTAGGAGTCTGTCTGTCCTAAAGGATTATATGAAGTGACATACTGTGTTAGCTGTGATGTTTTCCTGAAACACAAGTTTCTGTGAAATCTAATCAATCCGTATGAAAGTGTAGTGGGTTGTTTGTGGAAAGTGAAGCAGATACATCTTTAGTTTCTGGTAAGTCCAGATTTTTTAATATGGCCTCTTTTTCTAACCTTTGTGTTTTTCTCTTTCACAGATTCATTTAATTGCCCAACTACCACTGATGAAGATATGCTGGAGTAACTGCTGAAACTGCCTTTTTTTTGACAGTCCATTTGTTTTACTTCTTTTTGCTTTTCCTGCTGCTATGAGCTCTACTGTAATGACTGAAAAACTTGGAAAAGAAAATGAACATGCTGTAGTCATGAACATAATTTTTTTAAAGAAAAATTAAAGTGCTACAGCGAAAGCCAGAATGGCATCCAGAGAGAGGCTTTTTGAACTTTGGATGCTTTATTGTACAAAGGTAATTGCTTTCCTTTTTATTTTTATGTTTTAAAATACTTTATAAAATTTGTGACTGGCAGGATTAACACTTTATTTAATAGATAATGGTGTATTTAAGTGCTTAAAAGCACTTAAAGGATTTTGTTTTCCTCTTTTTCAGGTTTGAACACCCATATAATATTGGCATACTCTTAAAAACTGTAGAGTGTGGCTTTTATTTTATACTTATGATCCCCAGATGATCCTAGAATTATATAAGTAAAATTATGCCCTTGAGAGAAAAATAAATTATTTTTTATTTTTGTCTGTGCTTTTCATTTTCTCCCAAAAGTGGGTGTAGGATAGAGACATTTTTATGAGAAGGGCATTAAGCATTTTTCTCAGAATGAACCTTTGAAATTGCATCACAAGGTTATTGATTGAACTGCATACTGTGTGATTGCCACCAGGTTAGCACTCTTATGAGAATTGTCTCATTTCCTCCTCACTACAATCCCGTGAGGTGAATATTGTGATCATCTCCTTTTACTGATGAGAAAACTGATGCAAAGGTTACAGGAGTAACGAGTAGCAGAGACTTAACAGTACTACCTGACTGAAGTGCATACCTTTATACATTTTTACTCCTTAACATTTTTGTCACTCAAAAGTAATGTTCTTTCCCCTCCTTGTCTTCATGTGAATTTTTACATGATAGCTTTGATTTTAGGTTTTGACAAGAGTAATACTTAAAAACATGTTTTTCAAGTGAGGAGGTACATTATTACTTTGAAGATACTGGCAAGGATCCGAGAAACACCCTTAATATACTACTTGAGTTAATTAATAAGTCTGTGTGGTGAAGTTCTCAAGTCACAGCTTCTGTTTCTGCATTATCCCTTCGTGCTTCTTAAAAGGCAGATTATTATTTAACAATGGTCTCATTTATCTGTTGTATTAAATTTAGAGATTACACTGGAATTTTCTTTGACTTCCTGATTGGATATATATTATAATCACTAAAGGACATATACTTTGCAATGCTTAAAATGAAGTTTTAAAATAGCTTTTAGTTTTGTGTAATTTAATACCAGAAATGTCTTTTAAAAATAGAAGCTTTCGATAAAAAAGGAATCAAATTCACCACTTTTGAAAATAGTCACTAACACATTAACCAAAAATTAAAATGAATTTTTAGTATGAATACCCTGTAGTTTGAAAATGATTTATTTAAAAAAATCAAATTACTAGGCTTTACTGTTCTCAGAATGACATTGGTGAATGGTGTTACATGTCTCATTAATAAGTTATGTTCTATTTAGTAAATTTACTATTACATTTAATATTAAAGATTATTAAACAGATAGTATAGTTCACTGGCATATGCTGAATTTTATTCTTAATGGCTTTGAATATAAATGTGCATCCCTTCTGTTTTGAAATGTTTATCTTCAATAATGAAGGCACTTCATGGTCAGATTTTGAAGTCTGTCTCTTGGACAGGAATATAAATCTCATTTAATTTGTGTGCTTAATAAGATTTACATTTTTTCACTTGTTTTCAAAGAGTATTTCTTTAAAACCCTGATTTTGTATTTTACTCGTTCATGAATAAGCTACTGGTAAGGTAGACAACATTCTTTTCTGCAGACACCTTGAATAAGGTAGCTACCAAATACGCCTCATAGATTTAAGTCTTCTTTCTAGTGAGCATGACTACCAAATACTGTACCCACTTGTTCTCTATACTTTCTTGCCTTATTATTCCCACTCTAGCATTTAGCCTCTCAAACCAACTGACTCTGTTCTTTTCCCACCTGACAAACTTTTAAGACTTTTTTTTTTTTAAACACTTTTAATGAGCTTTCAGACTACTTGAGGACTCAGATCTTCTTATGAAAATGTTTTCTACAACTTAGTTCCAAAAGCTTCTTAGACTTCTTTGTGGACTTGAAATTGTAGTTTAGTTTTGGCTCTGCTGCTGCTTTGTTTTGTAACCTTGAACGGGATTTACCTCTTTGGGTCTCAGTTTTTCTCATTTGTTGAGTAAGCGTGTATGCATGTATGTATATACAGGGAGAATGCTTGTCTAACTCTCTATTGAGATTTTTGTTTGTTTTGACCTCTGAGGGACAAGCAGTTTTTTTCTTGTTCTTATTCTGTAGATTGTTATGTAGAACTTTTTAGTTCTTTCTTTTTAAAACTTTTATTGTGGAAAATTTCAAGCATGCACCAATTAGAGAAGATGTTATAGTGAACTCTTTTGTGTCTGTCACCCAATTTCAACTATTGCCAGCTCATGTTCAGTCAGCTTATGTGTAACTGTCAATTTGCCCTATCTCCTAATTATTTTAAAGCAAATCCCAGATAACTTATGATCTTATCTATAAATATTTAAATATGTAGAATAATTCCTCTTAAAAACAATCACAATACAATTTTTAAAATTATCCAATATATGATCAATGTTCATACTTTCCTGCTAGTATCATAGTATTTGTATTTTCCCACCGTTTGGCTCAATATTTAAAACAAAGTATACGTGTATTTTGTTGAAAATATCTGCTAAGCATTTTCATCTATAGCTTCTCCTTTACCATACCTTTATTCTTTGCTGTTTATGTGTTGAAGAAACCAGATTTTGACCTTAGAGTTTTCTATAGTTTGGACGTTTTGGTCATTGAATTCTCTTGATTTTATTTTATTATTCCTCTCTTCTGGTATCCGGAAACTGACAGAACAGAGGCTTGATTGCTTTGAGTTCTGTTTTGGGTGTGGAGGGATAAAATAATTCATTAATGTAGTTGGCATCTGTGATTTTTGCCTATATGTGTTAATTATTAGGATTTTTGCAAAATTGTGTAATTTATATTGAGAACTAACTATCAATAGTTGATTGCAGCTCCTTAAAGGGAAGGCAGACAGCATATATGTTTGATTCTCTTTGTCGATTTTCACTATGACTCAATTTACTAACATCCTCCCAAGATGATCAATTGTTTTTCTTGAGTATAAAGTCCATCTTTAATGATTAAAGTGTCTAATATTTTGTTGCCCTGCATAGTTTGATGTCTACACAAAACATTGTATACATACCTGATTAAAGAAGATACCTTGGAAGATTAATGAAGGACTGCTTCAGGGCAGTAAGGTTAAGACCTCCTCCATATTTGCCACAGTGCTAACCTTGGCACAGATAATATACAGTGTGTTAACAATAGGTCAATGTTAAGGTACCTACCATCACCGTGTTTCTATGTCATGTTTTAAAAGTTGCTTCTGGACATTACAAAAGTTTAGTAGGTCTAGTAGGTAGTACTACCTCAGAAATAACCCTTGGATAAAACTGTTTGACCATAGCAATTCTAAAAGAATGCTAATGGAATATATATGTCTTCTGCCTGAGTTCAGTTGCAAGCCTAAATACTAGTGATTAAAGTCCTTTAAGAAGAATTAAAGGCTGGGCGTGGTGGCTCACGCCTGTAATCCCAGCAGTTTGGGAGGCCGAGGTGGGTGGATCACAAGGTCAAGAGATCGAGACCATCCTGGCCAACATAGTGAAACCCTGTCTCTACTAAAATAGAAAAATTAGCTGGACGTGGTGGCACATGCCTGTAGTCCCAGCTACTCGGGAGGCTGAGGCAGGAGAATTGCTTGAACCTGGGAGGCAGAGGTTGCAGTGAGCCGAGATTGTGCCACTGCACTCCAGGCTGGCGCCTGGTGACAGAGCGAGAGACTGTCTCAAAAAAAAAAAAAAAAAGAATGAAAATATTTAGTTTTTAGCAGATGGAGTCCTAATATTTGAAAGAATTTGAGTATAAAACTTGGCAATTTATTTGATTTTATTTCTAATTGATAATTGCATGTATTTTTGGGGTACAATGTAATGTTTTGTTACATGCGTACATTGTGGAATCATCAAATCAGGCTAATTAACATATGTTAACATTTTGTGATGTGCAATTTGGTTTGTTACCAAACTTTTCAGGTCTAAGTTTTCACTTTCTCCCTCTAGGAATAGACTTTAATTGCATTGTTAGAAACGTGTCTTCTTCCTGTTACTTTTTAAAACTTATGTAGTTTTTACATAATACAAGCAGGATGATTTCTAATCTCCCAACATATTCCTGCTCTTTAAAGATTCTTTCACCACTGTATAAGACTATTAATTCAAACTGTATAGTCTGAGGCTGGGCGCAGTGGTTCAGGCCTGTAATCTCAGCACTTTGGGAGGCTGAGACGGATGGATCATTTGAGATCAGGAGTTTGAGACTAGCCTGGCCGGTATGGTGAGACCACGTCTCTACTAAAAATACAAAAATTAGCTGGGCATGGTGGCATGCACCTGTAATCCCAGCTACTCGGGAGGCTGAGGCAGGAGAATTGCTTGAATTTAGGAGATGGAGGTTGCAGTGAGCTAAGATTGCGCCACTGCCCTCCAGCCTGGGTGACAGAGTGAGACTCCATCTCAAAAAGAAAAAGAAAAAAAAACAAATTACATAGTCTGAACTTTTCTTGCCTCCAATGGTTGTCCCCACCCACAGTCAAGGATTTGATTAACAGTACATTTCTTACAGCTCTTATAAGTTAAACATTAATTTGAACAGGTTTAATATTGTATCTGGACTTAGTTCAGTAGTTAACTACTTCTTGTCTGAGTGTATTTTTCTTAAATATAGAAATATTTTAATACAAGTACCTAAGTATACAGTATTTTTATTTATTTTTGTAGACCGAGTCTCACTCTGTGGCTCAGGCTAGAGTTCAGCCCAGGTTCAAGCTATTCTCCTGCCTCAGCCTCCTGAATAGCTGGGATTACAGGTGCACACCACCATTCCTGGCTGAGTTTTCGTATTGTTAGTAGAGATGGGATTTTACCATGTTGGCCAGGCTGGTCTTGAACTCCTGACCTCAGGTGATCCAGCCTCCTAAAGTGCTGGGATTACAGGCATGAGCCGCTGCGCCCTACCCAGTGTTTTTTTTTAATGTCTAAAGATTTTAGGCCGGGCGTGGTGGCTCATGCCTGTAATCCCAGCACTT